GGGGTCAAGCTTGACCCCAAGGCTTGTAACAGAGGGAGAGAGGGGAATGGTATGACCACAGAATGAAACAGAGGTGAGAGGAGAGGAACGGAGTTGATGAGGAGTACCAGTTTGGATGGCCTCTGTTTTTGAGGCATTAAGCTGCAGGAAGTTTTGACTCATCCACGCCTCTATATCCTCCAGGCAGGAGCTGAGGCAGGTGACAGAGTTGGCGGGGGAGCTGGGAGGAGTCATTTTAATGTAAAGTTGTCTGTCGTCAGCATAGCAATGGAAGTTGACCCCATGCCTGCAGAGTGTCTGCAGAGGGGGCGGGGACGTCTTTGTGTTCACTGCGACACCTACGCAGACAACCTAGTTTCGAAGTATAAATCAGTCTCAACAAGCCCCTCCCTCCTCCAGAACAAAGGGACTCCGATGCAGCAGCTGCAGCCCATCAGCCCAGAGGGAGCAAAGCAATTCTCGTTTCCCCATTCAGTTTTTTTTTCTGTAAAACTGTTCCAGCGAATCAGAATAGCATGTGGGCGTGGTTTCAGCGCCCCCAGCATCTCAGGGCAGAGAAAACAGATGTTTTTTCATTACTTTAAAGACCTAATTTTATTTAATTAGTCGTTTTTTTTAATCATTGAATTTCATATAAGTGATTAATAAAAACATTTCTGTGGTTTGACAAACTGAGAACAGATTTATTTGTACTTTACTCTTTAACAATCGTCAGTACTAATTTACACACACACTGGCTGATATCAGGTAGTTAGCAGGATTAATGGGGGCTGAACACATTCTTGCTGCACATATTTTATTTATAAAAACATTTGTAAAACTGAACCCTTGTTAAAAGTCTGTTTTTTGTCTTTGCAGATTGGCACCTATCAAATGGCTCTGTGCTCCAAAGCTCACAACAAGCCCTTCTACGTCGTGGCTGAAAGTTTTAAATTTGTCCGCCTGTATCCGCTAAACCAGCAGGATGTGCCTGATAAATTTAAGGTGCTGCTTCCTTATTTATTTGCTTTTCCCTCCTTTTTATTCAGATGTACTGACTTGTGCTTCCTGTCCCTCCGTAGTACAAGGCAGACACCCTGAAAAGCGGACAGAACCTGTTGGAGGAGCACCCCATCATCGACTACACGCCGCCATCACTCATCACCCTCCTCTTCACCGACCTGGGCGTCCTCACCCCGTCGGCGGTCAGCGACGAACTCATTAAGCTGTATTTATAACTGTGCCTCATTGTTCTCCTAATAAACACCCTTAAACAGACGACTGGTTCCTCCTGAGCTTTAATTTAGGGTCCTTCTGCTTCTTGCTTCGACTTTGGTCGATTTGCGATCTGCTGATCAAAGTCTTCCTCACTGATTTGGCCTTTTTTAAGCTTCTTAAGGAGGCGCGTGTCTTCCAAAAGCTCTTTCATGTATTCGTCATCCACATCAGAGTCCTGCAGAGGCAGAAGAGAAGCCATAAGTATATCGGATCCTGTCTAAATGCGCAGTTTATTCCCAAATAGAATTACCTCGTCGTGCTTCCTTTTAGCGGCCCGTTTTTTCTTGCGCTCCTTCTTGGTCTTCTGTTTGGACCAGGCCTTGTTCTTAACAAAGCTCTTCTTGGGAAGCTCTGTCTTTTCTTTGTCCTTCAGCTCAGCCAGCCTTTTCCGTCTCTGCTTTTCCCGGTTTTTGTCCTTGTAGCGGATGGTCTCTGTGTCCACGGTCGTCTCCGCGAATTCAGGAAACGATTTTCCCTTCAGCTCCGGCATCTTTGGGAGGCGGAGCAAAGCGAAGCCGCGAGCCAAGGACACAAAATCCAGATCTGAAAAAATAAAACCTCATTAAGTTTTGATTGTCTCTAAGGAAATTATTATAGCTTTGAGGTTTTCTCACCTTTTACTCTGAAGATCAGGCTACATTCATGTTTGGCGTATGCCTGGACGTATGAGACGAAGGCCTTCATCCCGCGGTCGAACATGGCTCGGTCAGCCAGGGCCATGGCCTTCACTTTGGGAAGCACGTCCACCACATCCTTAATGGGAGACATCTTCTGCAGCGGGCACTGAGCCATTAACGAGAGGAGGCCATTTCTCATTAAACGTTCTAAACAAATGCACCTTTTCTGACCTGCAGACATCAATGGCATCCCTTTCTGCTTTAAAGACAACCATTTTTCACCATAAGTACATTCTGAGATGCTCTGCTTCTTCTCTCCAATATATTTATTTTATTTTCAAAATTATTTTACCCTTTCAGATAATTATTTTTTCTTGAATAAATAACAATCACAAAAATAACTTCATACAAAACAACTCAAAGAGTTTCTGAAGTGATGAAGTTCGATCCAGAAGGTTCTGCTGCTATCGGCCATTAAAAACAAACACCTCAGCTTTATACGACCCACCTTCTGGTTGATAGATAAGAAGTTGACGTAAGTTTCCTCCATCGGCAGCAGGAAGACGAGGGCGTTGCCATAGTTACCGATGCGCGCCGTCCTCCCGCATCGATGCACGAAAGCGCTGCAGCGGATAAACCAAGCAAACATCAGAGCTGGAAAAGAGAGATACTAAAATCTGTTGCGTCGTTTCTGACGGACGCAGACGTGGCGGCGCACCAACCTGGCGTTGCTGGGCGGATCGTACTGAAGGACCCAGTTCACATCAGGGATGTCGATGCCCCTGGCCATGACGTCGGTGCAAACCAAGATCCCGCTGCAACATTACAACGGTTTAAAACAGTAAAAACGATTCATCTATAACCACGCAGGAGGAGGTTCCTACCTTTTCAGAGACCGAAACTCTGCAAAAATACTGTTGCGCTTGTTTTTCATCTTTCCATGGATGCAGTGGATGGTGACCTTCTTGACCAGCGACTCCAAGGCTCGGCCGAAGTATTCCACACAGGCACAGGTGCTGGTGGTTAAAACCGAGGGAGAAAAACATTAGAAATGAATAAATCTTATTTATTACGATCAGAGTTCACATCCTTTCGACTTTCCCACAATTTGTCTCAAAGATGTTAAACTTATTATACATTTTATCTCGCAGACGAACAAAATGTGCTTAAATATCCCGAGGAAGAATAAAAAGATAAAAGTTTCAAGAGCAAATCTACCGGTAAATAAAAAATAAAGAAGCAGAAATAACGGCTGAATGTGAACTGATGGACCAAACCTGAAGAAGACCAGGTTCTTCTCATGCTTGTGTTGCCTTAGAAACGCCACCAGGTTGTTGAACTTGTCCTCCGCTCTGCAGATCTGACAGGAAGACGGCACAAACAGTTTTTTTGGGTCTCATCTTTTAGGGCAGGATGCAGAACGACGGCGCCGGAGCTCCCAAACTCACGCTGTAGTAGTTGGAGAGGCGGGACGGCGTCTTCTGTGCAGCGGCGGCGGCAGCCTGACCTTTCTCTTTGACGGTGATCCGTACGGGGTTTCTGAGGCCGGCCCTCACCAGCTTCTCCAGCTCCTGGGTCTGAGTGGCTGAAAACAGGCCGGTCCGTCTCTGCTTGGGCAGGTAGCCCAGGATGGTGTTCAGGCTGCGTACAAATAGAGACAGAAATATGTCATGTAGATCCCTTTATTATCCCACAATGAGGAAATTTGTTCTCTGCATTTAACCCATCATTGTGTGGCGCCCGGGGGAGCAGTGTGGGGTTAAGAGTTTAACTCAGGGACCCAGAGTGCAGGCTGTGGGGATCGAACTGGGTACTTCTCAGAGCACAAGTGCACTGCTGTAGTGTTAGGCCAACATACATACAAGTACATACATCCAAAACTGGAGCAAACTGTTAACTGGCATCCAGAGAAGCTCTCAGAGTTAAGGGCTGGTTATCCTCCAACAGCTGAGTGTCGGAGTGAGCTTGTCGCAGATGTTTTTGATTAATGCCCAATATTCCAGCGTGGTCTGCGCTATGTTATTCCACGCCACAACGCAAGAGGGGCAATCAGGAACTAGCTGTGGGTCTAGATACGGCCGAGGCGGTGAGGAAGTGGGGGCAAGTTTGTGCGACAACGGAGGGACATGAGGGTCAAAAAGAGCGGGGATCCAGGTGGAAAAAGGGTCCCAGCGTTCTCGTGCACCTCGCTCTTCTAGCTGGTCCAACTTCACGTGTCGTTTTCCACAATGACGGTCATACAAAAAAAAAAAACAAGACAGTAAGGTACTGAACAGGAAATACACATAGTGTAGAGTGGATGAGGATTTGACCAATCAGAGGCACTTCTCCGCCAGTCATCGATTTCAGCAGGATCAACATGTTACGTTTTTTTTTTTTGCCCTCTTTTTGGGTACGAAATAATTTTTGCAAACATTTGACTCAAACCTGAATTTATTATCTTTGTTCCTAGAAGGACAGTTCCTTTTTTTCAAGTTGACAAGCCTAACTGGATTTGAACCCCTCCCTGCTGGATTGAAGAGCAAGAGCTCTACTCTAAAAACCCCAAAAAGTACAGAATCTGGATGTTTCAGAGCACGTGAAGGCTGCATTTACAGCCAAACAGATGTGGTAATGAACACAATTTGTCCTTTAGTTTTCATTTACAAAGAAATCTCATTATTTGTTTTTTATTCATCACCTTTACACTGTTTTCCAAGATTAGTGCACACTCGTTAGATCACCCTGTTTTTGTTGTAAATGTGTTTTATTTTTATTCTGGTTGAGTTTTGCAGTTTCTCCAGTCCCTTGATTGAGGAACCGGCAGGTTTCCAAGGGGCTGAGTGGATTTGGACCGTACCACATCAACGCTATGGGGGGAAATGGGGTTTTAATTAATTTGGTTTAGTTTTGTTTTTGTATGTTTTACCCCATGTGTTTGTTTAAGTTTCCCTTTATCTCATTAAGGGATGTCAGTTTCCTTGTCTGTTCTGTTACAGATGCTTTGAGTAGTTTTGGTTCCTTTGACCTCTTTCCTGGATCCATTTTTGTACTTGTTACTTATTATATTTTTTGGGTTAAATAAAAGAACCCTGTTTTTTTTTTTATCATCATTCAACCAGATGCCCGGAACATTCTCTCCTTGATTGGAGCAAAAGACGAGCAAACACCAGCAGCAGGTTTGGTTCTGAGCTCCTTCCTCCATCATAGCCGTAGAAATTTTCCCCATCGCTTCGTACCTGGCCTCAAAGCCCATGTCCAGCAGCCTGTCTGCTTCGTCCAGAACCAGAACCTCCAGACTCCTGACGGCGCTGGCCAGTTCAAACCCCTCCGTCTTCCTCCTGAACATGTCCTCCAGTCGGCCGGGCGTCGCAATCACAATGTTGCCTCTGAAAATCAGCACAGATGGACGTTACTGCAGCATCAACACTTTTTAGATTTTCCAACATTTGACTGAAAGTAGGAGCTAAAGTACGCTTCTGAACTGTTTATTTTGAATCCAATGTTCTGCATATTTTTTTATAATTCAAATATTTATTGAGCTTTAGTATTTTATAACAAAGAAACAAAAAAAAAATGTGTTAAATGAATATAAAACTGCGAGGTTCATTGTAAATCTGTAAACAACTGACTCATTTTCTTTCATCCAATCAGAATACTGTTTGAAAAATTAAAATCCAGGCATTTTTCTTCTTTTTAATTTACGTTATAAATTCCAAACTATGCTCCGATTCCCTTTTGTTGAACAGAAGGATGTAATCATCCTGTTAAACCCCTTATAAACAACGGAAGTCCTTTTGCTGAAAGCTTTACATCCTGTTAGGGTAGGATTGAAAATCCATACATACCCGTGCTCCTTAAACTTCTCCACATCCTCTGCTGGGTTACTGCCACCGATCAGTAGAATCTGCCTGAGAACCAAGAGGTGAAACAGAGACATTTTTAAACTTTACCACTGATTAAACTCTGAGTCTCATATCTGCCATATTTCATTCTACACTCACGAGAACTCTGGAAACTTCTGGATAAACGTTCCCATCACTTCACTGATCTGCAGGGCCAGTTCCCGAGTAGGAGTGATCACCATGGCGCCAACCTGCAGGAAAAATGCTCCCAATGAGATCCGCCAAAACAGAGAATCCCTCTGAATCACAGAAATGAGAACAGACACGTTGGCGTCGTGTTTACCTGCTTTTTCTTAAGCTTCTCCTCTCGCTTCAGCAGCAGCTCTATGATCGGAATGACAAACGCTAAAGTCTTCCCGCTGCCGGTGATCTGAAACAAACAGAGAGCAGCTCATAGCTGTCAGGAATGTCCAACTTTCTCATATAAAAAAAAAATCTCTACATAAAAACACAAAGCAATTGTTTGCATTATTTGTGATTAAATGATTACTGAAATAATCGTTGATTATTTTAATTTAACTGCTTTTAAGAGGAAAACCTTTGTTAGAAAATACGCTCTATGCAGAGCTCTTCAAGTTTAGCTTCACTTTGTTTAAACTCTGTATAAAATCTTCTTTAGGCCACTTTTATTATCTGATTAATCATTGAAAACAATAATGGAAGATGAATGATTGGCAGAATAATCGTTAGTTTCAGCCCATGTTTAAATACCTCTCCAAATGGTTTTAATTTCATTTCCAACATGCCCCCCTGTGGTCAGAAAATTTAAATTTCTCTTAATAAAAGTTTTCACTGAGTCAGTTTCACTTGCAAGGCCTCACAATTCGCCTGAGTGAGGGGTGTTTGTAGACAAGACACACTTTATTCTCATAACAAACCAGATTCTTTTTCAAGGTTTATTCATAACATGTTACTGTTTAACCAAAGTGTCAGTAATTTGTTTTGACTCTGACCGCTTTCCATTGTTGTAAGTAAGGGGAACACACTCCGTCCAGATCAAAACAGGGCTGATTACCATGCAATAAGGGCTGTATGATGAACTGTTCTCTCTTTGCAAACATAAAATAAAGTGCTGACTGAGTGAAATCCATCGATCTCCGTTTATTTAACTGGGGTGAATAGTTGAATACCTTTTCCCCATTAAACCCCCTTATAATTAAAGATTATCATAACTGACAGTGGTGTCAAAAGTCCACACATTTGTTACTTAAGTAGAAGTATAGATACTGCAGTTTAAAAACACTCTGGTAAAAGTTGAAGTATCAACTTGACCTCTTTACTCAAGTAAACGTGAAAAAGTATGTGCTCCAAACAGTACTTAAAGTATAAAAGTATAAAGTAACCTTTAAAAAACACAGTCAGATGCCACTATATGAATTGAAAGCTCAAAATTCTTTGAGAAAGGGCCAAGGATGAGGGAGGTCTGTTGGTCTCCATCTCTGACCTTTCAGACATTTCAACATCTTTTTCTGAATCCCACATTGTAGCATGGCATAGA